GATGGATGGATGGATGGATGGATGGACATTATAAATAACATTTAGAATATTGGGAAGGGATTCATAATGGTGTTCTTTATAATTTCACAATATAGTGAAGTAAGATAGAAACAAGGTTAAGATAAAAATAAAAATAATTACTAACATTTTGACATTTTACAAAGAACTAATTGCATCGTAAATAAACAGTGCAGATTTTATTTAAGAAATTGAATTATTTTCACAGTTTCATGGTTGATGGAGTCTTTAAAAGTTTTGTTCACATTTAGTGGAATCTAATGCTTTAGAAAATAAAGACTTCAGTTTTGTAAAGCAACTCACATTTGTGTACTTTTCTTGATAGTGGTATAGAAGAAACGCCCCCCAAGCTAAACCTATCAAGTGCAGAATGGTTTTGGTTTTTTGTGGATGGAATCAAAAGTTTTGTAGAAATCAAATGAGAAGTAAATAATCAGTAAGGTCTAATATTAATCTTATATGATCAGAGATATACCAATTCCTCTGTTTGTGTCTCATCAGTTACGAAAGCTAAAGCTACCTTAATTGTATGAGCAAATATTTGGGTAGAAACTTTCTAGTCCTTATTAAGAAGTTAGACAGGACGCCAATCAGGAAAGTGTTTGAGGGCTTCATTTTTATATATTTACATTGTTGTACAGTGGAACGATTTTAAAGTCCTTTGGTCTCTAGCATGGAGCTGATTATTTATGGATGAGAGCAGTTACGGAGATCATTCAAGAAACACTCAGAGCTGTTTTAGTTTTCTTTTCTTGTGACTCACTTATTCTTCGTATAGCTCAGCGAGCCTGACGTCACTTAAATGCGACTATCTTAAGAGAACTGAATGCAAGTTTGAAGTTGAAACGATCGGCTGAAGCTAAAATAATCTTTGTCGTGCTTAAACTTTAAATTGAATCTCCTGTAGTTACTTTTTAAAAGTCATAGTCTGTTATCCGCTGAAAATGTCATCAGACTAGCATATTTAGAACAAACTTGTCCGATCATCAGAAAGAAGAACACGGAAATGTCTGTAACTGCGTCACTCTGCTCCACTTTGCTGTTTTTTGGCATCTTCGTGTTTGTCTCGGCAGGTGAGGTTAATAAACCAAAAGTTTCCCCTCTGAGATAAAAAAGGAAAAAATGGTATCTTTGTCGTTTACGTGGTGCCAATACTTCACAAATAATTAGTTTCATGTCGATTCCATTTGTTTGTGTCCGTGAATGCATCACGAGGCTGGGTGGGGTCTACGTGTTTTATCGTAGAGTTAGCATGTTTGCTATCTGTACCACTGTGGGGACTGTCCTTCTGACTAAAGTGAGATCTGTTGTTGAAATAGTGGCAGTGCACAGATTCTGTGCTTTAATCGGTCTGTGGCGTCTGTTGCTCGTGTTGTTGTTGGTCTGTCAGCCAGCCGGGGAGCAGACCGAAGGCTAACATACCAAAAGCTCCCGAGTGTTAAAAACAAAGACAAGTATCGCTACAGTCACTGTCTGTGCTTTTCGTGCTTTCGTTTTTGATCTTTGAAGTTTTTTAGGTTCTCTTGTTCTTTGTAAACTCTGCTATCACTTCCTGCTCTTTTTTCACCTGCCAACCAATGAACATTCAGAAATGGCCTACGTCATCTGGCTTCCAATGCCGTACAGTCAGGATCTTGTAGAAGTGCACCTGAGTACATCTGGGGCGGGTGACCCTCCTCAACCAAAAAGTGGATGGACAGGTTTGTGGGACAATAAAACCGGCTTAGTGTGTGAAGACTTGTTGGAACACTGCAGGATAGAACCGACCTAAATCCTCTGACCGCAGGAGTTTGGCTCACATATGATGAAGCAATTATCATCTCCATTATACTGGTTGGATGAGAGAAGGCAAGGAGTTGCAGAAAAGGGTGCTGGGTAGGAGTGCTGTAGATGTGATGGTGCAGGATAATGGACAGGTGGATGTGACAGTGGAGTAGACTGTCAACATCTGAGGAGTTCACTATAAGTCTTGGCTTCTTGGCTTTTGACTTCATCTCCTTATCAGCGATTATGAAGCGATATTGTTTGAGTGGCGACACTTATCCACATACGTTCTATAGATTGGCATTTTGAGGCATCACAGCAGTAGCTGGAGGCTGCGGTGAAGCAGAAGGATGAGGCTGCACTAGTAAAGAGGAGTAAAGATCACAGGAATTGTAGATGCAGACGGCTATAAATTCACAGCTTCAGATGTTAATATAGTTGATACAGAAGAGTCCGCCTGTTCTTGTTGTGCTGCATGCTAAGCCTGATGTATGTGTAGGTGAATCCCTTGTAGCTGTTGTTGGACTGTGAACCACAACAAGGTAACTGCACGCTAGTTGAGGGAGACAACTGTAATGTGGCTAAAATGCAGCTTTGTGGCATGAAGGGTAGGACAGGTGAGCACTCTGTGGATATGAAATCAATTTGACCATTTAGTCCATTTCCACTTAAATTAGATCAGCCTTCAAACTCTTTCATCTTCTGGTGTCTTGTCTACCAACATGCATCCAGCCACTCCCATCTATCATCTGGACTACAGGATATCTAGCAGTTTTCCCCAGGCTATAGGTGTCACTGCATTAATTGGTCTCAGTGGAGATGTTTGCCTTATTGTGCTGATTACAGGACAATGACGAGGGAGGTTAGGTGAGTTTAAGGCTACGTCCACACGTACACGGAGATTTTTGAAAACGCAGATTTTTCCATGTGTTTGCACCTTTCGTCCACACGTAAACGATGTTTTCGGTCACTGAAAACAGAGATTTTTAGAAACTCCTGCCAGGGTGGAGATTTTCAAAAACTCAGTTTTTGCGTTTATGTGTGGACGAAGAAAATGGAGAAAGCGCAACGTCAAAGGTGTGCGGCTTTTTTGATGTTACAAGGGCGGACTTACAGAAAATACTGTTACTGTTAATTTTACTCTATGCAGTGTTTAAATGTTTACATATACACATGAAGTTACTGTCGCTCCACACATAGGACTCAGTTCTGCTTCTATGCACCATCTTTGTTTACTCTTTCCCACCCAGGCTTCTAGACTTCTGATTGACTAACATTTCTACACAATTAGGAATTTATTGCCACCTGTTGCGTTGGCATGTTCCTGGCAGCGTTTTCCTTCATGGGATTGGGCGTGGGATTTAAAAAAATGAAAATGGAAAAGATCTCTGTTTTCAAAAATACCCGTGTACCACTAGCCTGGATAGATTTGAAAAAGGCGTTTTTGTCAGAAAACGCTCCGCGTCCACACTAGCGTTTTCAGTCATTTTCACAGAGTGTGCGTCCACATTGAAATGGCCAAAAATGCAACATTCCAGTACTGCACATGCTTGCCGTTTATTTACTTTCCGGCTCTTTTTTTTTTTTTTTTTTTTTTTTGCCTGTCCCATTTGGTTCTTTAGCCGTCAGAATTGTTGTCTGAAGACCAACAAAGATACCCAATGGATTTATTTTGCCAAATGGATCATCGTGGCATTGCCGTATTGGTCCATTTGATCGACCTTTATTTTTATTATTTATTTTATTTTATTTTCAGTTGTTACAGACGGGACAGACATGAGTGAGGGATAGGAAAGGGAGAGAGAAAGATGAAGGAAAAGAAAAACAGAAGGGGAGAGGGACAGTGAGAAAGGGAAAAAAAATCTCCTGGATCACCTGTTGAGAGAGAAAGAATAGAAAACAAGCAAAAAAAACCCAAAGCAACATACTAAACACAACACCATCGCATTAATCTAGCTAAGTGTAAACAGCAGTAAGTACTAAATATTGAATGTTGTTGTGCAGCATGCAGGACAGACAGCGCACAATGTGCTTTGAAGTAGCAGCCAAGAAAGGTGTGATTTAAGTCTACGAGCAGTGAACATCTGTGTGCATACCTGTGTGGATCAGCGCGCTTGTATTCAAATGGTTACTTTCCGGCTCTTTGAAACGTCGCGGCAAAATGTTGATGAAAAGCAAAAAAATAGCTTTTTAAATGGACTAACAATGAAGTGGAGTTGTTGCTACGAGTAACACAAAAGTACAAAATTGCAAAAGCGAGTGAGAATTAAAGAATTTGAAGAAAAGCTATCTGAAGCATGTACAAACTGATATTAATCTTTAATAGGGCTGTCAAAATTGAGAGCGAACAAAACAACTGCTGTATAATGCCCTCCGCTATCTTACTTTAATTGGTCACATGACTGCATCATATGACTAATATGCGTCATCGTTATAGAAAGTCTCCGTTTTTACTGTTCACACTGCAAAGTGAAAGCACGGCTTTCAAATGTATGCGTTTTCAAGAGGTTTCTAAAATGCTGCATTTTCCATCAGCGAAAACGCCGTCTCAGTGTGGACAAGAGGCCAAAACAGAGAGAAAGCGATGTGTTTTCAAACGAAAACCCAGCGACGTAGCCTAAGTCCTCCAGGTTTCTGGAGATGTGTTACATCATAAATCTCTCTGGGTGTAGTCAGCACAGTTTGTATACCTCCAGCTTTAAGGACCACTTCTTAAAACTGCATTGAATCGCTGGTGTTTATACGACTTCTGCTGTTATAAATAATGAGCTCTTTGGTTATTGTAAAAAGTGGTACAAACAGCACTGTTTTAACCCTCTGAGGGTTAAAGCCTTCTACTAAATCTAACCCTGTGCTATGGAAATAGGAGATTCTGGCTTTTTGAAAAATGCTCCAAACTATAAAAGGAGAGAAAACACAAAAACAGAAAAGACACTTTGGCTTCAGCAGGAATAGAATTAAAGTTAGATCTGCTGAGGGAGGGTGTGCAGTGGCACTAAATGTGCTTGCAGCATTTTTCGCTTTAATGATAGCTGGAACAAACATTTTTTCCTCCTCTTAGATTTCACTTACTGTAGCTCAGCAGCACCTTTATCTTCTCCTCATCCTCTCAATGATAACAGCTCTCATTTTGTTCAGTATCACTGAACACAGCAACTCCCAGTGTAAACAATGTGTAATATAACCTCTCTGCTCTGTGTTGTTTCCTCTTTCAGAGCAGAAAAACATCACAGCTGAGTCTGGACAGAACGTCATTCTTACATGTCAAGCTCCAAACAACAACATCATAGGTGTGGAGTGGAACAGAGCTGACCTGAGAGATGAATATATACTTTCGTACAGAGACAAGCAGTTTGATCCAGACAACCAGCATCCATCTTTTATGAACCGGGTGGATCTGCAGGACAGACAGATGAAGGATGGAGACGTGTCTTTGATTTTGAAGAATGTGACAATTAATGACACTGGTATATACAAGTGTCGTGTCTTCACTGGAGAGACAAGATCATGGGAGACCATCAACACCTTCAACCTGACTGTTTCAGGTAAGTGAGTAGAGCTGAGTGTGTGTGTGATCAGAGGTGAAGCTGCTTCCTGGTTGTTGATGTTTGTTTCTAAAGATGTTGTTGATGAGACTTTGTAGAAAGCAGCTGGTCTGAGTGATGTGATCAGAGTGCAGTAGATAATGTCTGACAGCAGTTTGAAGAGGAAATGGATTCTGTTCTGTTCTTCACTCATCACCTACCTGACAGCTGACACCTCACACCTGTTTCTCACCTGCAGGTCAGACAAGAGGAGACACAGAGGATGGAGCTGTTGGACTGATAGTTGGTCTGTCAGTTTCTGCTGCTGTTCTTCTTGTTGCTGCTGTTGTTGGTTTTTTGATATACAGAAAATGTAACGAAACAAAACAGAGTCAGCATTCATACAAGCCTCCTGATGAACTGCACCATGGAAATGGCTCAGCTATTCACACAGAATCAGAAAAGCCTGCATTGCTAAATCAAACATAAGGATAATCTGTGACTGTAGAGACTAAAACGATAACATCCAAGTAAAAAAAAAACAGAGGAGTCCAAAGAGTTTTTCCAGGATGGACGATAGTTTGATAAATACTTGGGCTGAAATAACAGAGCGGTGAACATCATGCCCACAATATTTTCACTTTGCCTGAAGTAAGACTGAAAAAAGTGATTATAAAACCAAGAAGAACACAAGTTGAGGTCACCAAAACTGTTCAAGTCAGCTGATCATCTCGGTGTTACGTTCATGTTACGTTCTTTTTATTTAGATCTTGTTTGTATGTGTTTGTTCATGTTTTCACGAAAAGAAAAGTTACATATATATTTTAAGATTTTCTATTTTTATTTTAGAGAAGGTTTTCAGTTTGACTCAAAGCTCAACTTCCACTGATGATTAGAAAAAAATAACTGTTTGTTCCCTCAGTATTAATTAATTCAGTGTCTTGTATGTAATGGAATCAGAATCATTGAATGAGTTTTTCAGGTTTAGCAGCTGTTTGTAAGATCAAACGGATTCTCATGTATTGATCAGGTGTTACAGTAACCTTATGTACTATATGATGGGGCTGGGTTTGTTGTTGTTGATACCCTGCAGCAGATAAACAAATGTAACAGAGGCTGTTCCCTTTAACAGGAAGTAATAAATTGGTGAGTGGAAAGTTGTTTTGATGTGCTCAAACAAATTTAAGCAAATTTAATGATGTTACTCCTGAACTAAAATGGGATTTTAATGGAGAACAGAGTACAGATTTTTCAGGGATTTTTAAATAATGGCGGTGAGATTGAAGTTGTAATTCTATTTTCCAGAAACAAGTTAAAATTCAATTTTGAGAAAAAGGATTTGATATTTCTGCCACAGCTGCTATACTCTCTACAAAACTTAGTGAAACAAATTGATCAGTCATCTTGTGATACAACATACATCCTCTTTATAGCACAGGGGTGTAACCATCGATAACCCTTTATCTATCTACTGCCAGCCATTTCATTTTATACAAATCTCCACATGCATCTTTCAACACAATCTTTTCAGTTCTTATACCGATAACCACACTGTGTTTGTGCACTAAAAAAAGAGACCAGTTCCATCCCTATGACTAAATCTGATTCTGAAATCACTAACTCTGAGGTTCTAGCAATCGTGGCAGTTTGTCTGAAAACACAACTATAATCTTCACATATTGAATGTATTCTCAAAATGATTAATATTTTTTTTTAATGTGGTCCATAATACTTCATCATAGGTTGGACCAAGAAAGTACTCCAACTGCACACCATGGTTTTCCCTTTTATGTTTGTTGTACATATTCAGAGTAGTTCCTGTTGGATGGAAACCTAAACAAAGAGTAGATTTTTCAGTCTCTCTGACCTCATAATCAAATCCCTGATTTTCACTGATGACGTGTTCCACGAGGCTTCAATGGCCTCCAACACTCAGTGACAGAACAGTTTGCATTCTGTGACGGGAATCAGCACCTCAGTTTGAGGCCATTCAGAGGCAGAAATGGCTAAATTTAAAAGAGAGGGTGAAATGCTAATTCATTGGCTTGTTTCGCTAGCTCAGATTTTAGGAGCTGAAACACATTTCAAGATGGAGCTCTCCTTTTCAGGTCATAGGCAGATGGTAGCAGAGGTGGAAAGTAGCGAAGTACAAATAAATCTTTATAGTACTTCTGTAGAATTTTAAGGTATCTGTACTTTATGTTGGCATTTGTTTTTCTGGAAACGTTTTACTTTTATTCACTGCATTTTGGCACAAAATGCCTCTACTTTGTACCTCTCACATTTTTAAAGCAGACTTAATTTTTTGAACACATTTATGAGGTATTATTTTTGGTCACCGCATGAGCGCAGATGTACAAACAGAGGGGTGGCTGTACTTCAGCACCTACGGAAGAGGAGCGAGCATAGAGTGTGTAACTTTTTATTTATTTTTTTTAAATCTGTAAAGTGTTTTTAAATCCAGTGTTTCTATTAGCAGAACATTTGGGGTAGCTTAGGGGGTGTAGAAAGTCCTCTGCTGATTAGAAGGTCAGTGTTTTTAATTTGTTTTTGCTTCAGCCTGCTTGCCAAATATTGGGCATGCAGTTTATTGTTTTGGGGAAGATATTGACCCCAAGTTTTTCTCCAGTGCCTCCATCAGAATATGAATGTATGTGAATGTTAGACAGAAAACGCTGTAGATCATCAGATTAAAAAATTGCTTTTGTAAAGCACTTTGAGTGCTTAGATAGCATGGAAAAGCACTATATAATAATGCCTCCATTTACCATTACCAAGAACAAATATCAGGAAACACGAAAACGGTTTGTATGCAGCTTGCTGTACACTGGGACTGTCACGTGTGATCGCGGGGACTCAGGTCAGAGCAGGATTCAGTTCAAAAACCAGTTTTATTCACACAATCACCAGGTGCACAATATATACAGTGGAGGAATCCAGGGTTCCAAGGGCCAAAGGGAGGTCTGGGAAAGGGAAGGCTCTCTCACACTCCAACTCACACACGTCCAAACGGCGGGTAGGTCAGAGGTCTGGGAAAACTACACACAGGAAAGGTTGGTTAGACGAAGTCACGGGTTAACACTAAGAAACGTTCACGAGCGCTAGAGTAGATCACTATGGGGCACCATTTGTAAAGCGAAACATGCTGAAATGAACGGCAACATTTTTCACATTTAGCTCAAAACCTAACAAAAACATGTTTTGTCGAGTCATTTTTTAGAACATTTAGAAAAATATTTGTAGCCTTTCATATTTAAAACAAAATTTGAAATGTAAAATATAAAAGCTAAATGTTAAATCAAGTCATTGTTTGTTAAATCAGATGTTCAGTTCAATTTTGTGAATATAGTGTCAAATTGCAACATTTGCCCCGAGACACTTAAAACTGTTAGGTAAAAACTCTACAATAATAGAAGAAAACAGAGAAAACCCAAATATTCCTACGAGCAAGGACATTGGTGAAAGTGAGAAGGAGAACATTCCTTTTAACAGGAAGTGTCAATAGAAAATTGTACTTAGGTAGTCAGTATGATCTTTTAATGATATAAGTTTGCATATGGTAGAATACTGCATGTTGACCTTTTGATGACTTAGGCTGTTGGGTGTAGGAGTGTTTAGCTTATTTTAGAGTTTAGAAATGTGTTAACATAGAATGTAGAACTATTGTAGAGACACTGCCCTCAATATAATAAAGGCTTCACTGTGTCGTGAACTTAGGAGTAGATTGTAGGAGACCCCTCCCCCACTTGAACTGTGAAAGTAAGACAAAGAGGAGTTAATGCTGAGTGGAAATTCCCCAGAGGATGTTTGGGTGGGGGTCTCAACATTTGTAACTGGATAACTGTGGTCTGGAAGGGAGATGGGTTTTATGACCTAGGGAGTCACCTACACCCACAGTGTTTTAACTGTCACGCACACACATCCACACGCACACTCACTCATGTGCACTCAAACATACACACACATACACACACACACACACGAGCACTCACATAGACACGTGGGAACGCACACATGTAGGCATTCATGTGCTTGTGCACATAGACACACACACAGAGTTTGCAGCACACCATAGGGTTTTATGATGGGGACGCCTCTATATAAATGAAGATGAATAAAGATTTTGTGAAAATGATTACTGAGTCCGGTGCCATCTCTGGATGCTCGAGGAATAAAAGAACCGAGGTAAAACTGATTTCGTAACATGGGTGGTGATGATGGGTTTAGATTTTATTATTGTCATTTGTATTAAGAAATATTTAACCATATATGCTTAGAGGTGTATAATCAATTGTGTAGTGATAGGATGTTTGATCCTTAATAGTCTGCAAAGACTTTGTGTGCATTCCAGAGTGCTCTGGCATTCACACCAACATCCTGGGAGCATGGGAGAGGTTGTACCTTCTCTTATTGTTTTATGGTAGGATAAACGTAGCTATATCTGTTTTAGTCTAAGTGCCTTTTGTTTAGATGAACCGCTGGACTTCCAGACCAGCAGGTTTAGGGAAGTCTTTATGGGGTCACACTCTGACACCCCCCCCCCCCCCCCCCACCACACACACACACACACACACACACACACACATCCACATTCCAATGTAATGAACAAACACACCCACTGATGTATATAAATAAAGACCAGGGCAGTGGCAGGGCGCAGGTCCCGGAGCCCTCACTCCCGTGCGAGTGCTCTGTGGCTGCCCTTGCTGCAAGTAAATCTGTGTGTTTCTCCTCTCTGATTCGGAGCTGAAGAAGTGTTTAAGAATATATCTCTTGACAGGAAGCAACCTCCAGCAGAAATATGTTACAGCAGTGGTGACCATCTAACTTGACTGATTAGTTAGTATTTAAAGTCCAGCATCTCCCTCTAGTGGCCATATATAAACCATGAGTGAGGATGTTGTTAATGTAAAATGTGAATCATAGGCTGTATCCCAATTCAGGGTCTGCAGCCTTAAATGTCCTCAAGGGCCGCGTACTCAAAGACCGCTAAGGCCGGAAGTGACAGGCTTGTAGGCTTGTGAAATGGGACGGTCTAGCCTCCATCATGCTGCCCAGGTTGCCTAGCAACCAAGACACTAACAGCTGGAAATGTTTCATACAGCATTATTTGACAGAAATGAAGGAGAAAATCTTTTGTTCATTTGTTTGTTTGTTTCTACATGAGCTTTTATTTGACAAGTATCTGAGGCTGAGACCACAGGACTGTGAAATCATGATTATTGGGCCTCAGTTTTGTACTGAACAGTCGTTTTAAGATTAGCTAGTAAATGACAATTACCTAATGTTGTTCATGAGACTAAAGTCATCTCACTTTGGTGATGTAAATATAATATGGCCAATATTAAAGTTATCTTTTCAATCATTATTAGTTATTACAGCAGTGAATGAACTCTGTGTCAAATACTGAGCTGCAGCAAAGATTCAAGCTGCATTTATTTATATTTCCTGTCACCCTAAATCTTCACTCAAAGACAGGTTCCTTTGACACTGTATATATAACTGTGTTATATATAAATCATACTCAGAATTCTCTTGTTAATGTGTTGCTTCCGTAACCCAGCAAGTCTTCTAGCTTGCTTACTTGCCACAAGTGCACTGTGCCACCTACCAATAGAAAGGAAAAAATAATGTGCATATTTCCATGAGAGAAATCCCACGCCTGGACCGTCGTTGACCGCTGCCATGATTCTAGCCTGCTTTTTACATCCAACACAAAAACTGCAGTCGTGGTGCTTTCGATTGTACTCAGAACTCGAAAATTCTGCCTTCTGAATAGGAAGATGTAGGTAACACCAGAATGCAGATGAGCTGCATACAGGGCTGGACTGGGTGAAAAAAATTGGCCCGGGCATTTTGACTAGAGACCGGCCCACCACTATAGGAAAAATCATAAAGCTTTTGAATGAAAATAAACACTGTTGTGACAGTGATGTGCACTGTTCTGATGGTATATATGCATCAATCTATCAACTGTTTGTTGTAAGATTCAGATAATTATTTGTTAAAAGCGAGACATTTTAAATGAGAATAAGAAAGAAAAAAGTATTTCTTTGTGCTCCCCTTTCCCTGTTAATGCCCTACCTGGACCCCTGGCAACACTTTGCTAGATCCGCCCCTGCACAGTTACCAGCTGTCAGCTACTTAGAAAAGGATCCTG